AAATGGCACCATCTACAGGTTTGAATTAAGGCCTGAAAGGCAATGCAAGGTTTAGCTTTTGTCATAAATATAAAGGGAAGGATAATCACCTTTAAAATCCCTCCTGGCCAGAGGAAAAATCCTTTCACCTGTAAAGGGTTAACAAGCTAAAGGTAACCTCGCTGGCACCTGACCAAAATGACCAATGAGGAGACAAGATACTTTCAAAAGCTGGGAGGAGGGAAAAAAACAAAGGGTCTGTGTCTGTCCGTGTGATGCTTTTGCCGGGGACAGAACAGGAATGGAGTCTTAGAATTTAGTAAGTAATCTAGCTAGGTATGTGTTAGATTATGATTTCTTTAAATGGCTGAGAAAATAGCTGTGCTGAATAGAATGACTATTCCTGTCTGTGTGTCTTTTTTGTAACTTAAGGTTTTGCCTAGAGGGATTCTCTATGTTTTGAAACTAATTACCCTGTAAGGTATTTACCATCCTGATTTTACAGAGGTGATTCTTTTTTTTCTTCTATTAAAAGTCTTCTTGTAAGGAAACTGAATGCTTTTTCATTGTTCTTAAGATCCAAGGGTTTGGGTCTGTGGTCACGTATGCAAATTGGTGAGGATTTTTACCAAACCTTCCCCAGGAAGTGGGGTGCAAGGGTTGGGAGGATTTTGGGGGGAAAGACGTTTCCAAACAACGTTTTCTCAGGAACCCAGATAAAGTTTGGTGGTGGCAGTGGAAGTCCAAGGGCAAAGGGTAAAATAGTTTGTACCTTGGGGAAGTTTAACCTAAGCTGGTAAAAGTAAGCTTAGGAGGTTTTCATGCAGGTCCCCACATCTGTACCCTAGAGTTCAGAGTGGGGAAGGAACCTTGACAGCTTTATAGTTATTTTGTAAAATAGGAACCAAGGAATGAAATAGAGCTGCTAAATGGTTCAGTTAGTCTATTGCAAACTGACACAAAAATTCACTTGGCATTATTGTGCTCCTTATTCTTCTATCTCCCCAGAAAATATTATTATTTATCATGTGTATTACAGTATCAAGTAATTCCTATGGAAGTAGAAATGACCACATCTGAGGTGGAAGTCAAACTCAAATAGCTTAATGGAAATAAACCAACAGGTGAGGGGGCCTGGATAATCTCCATCCAAGAATATTAAAGAAACTGGCACATGACATTGCAAGCTCAATAGCAAGGTTCTTCAATGAATCTGTCAACGCAGGGGTTGCACCTGAGTTGCTAATACAGTCCTTATTCTTTTAAAAAAGGGGAAAAAAGTGATCCAGGAATCTACAGGCCTGTTAGTTTGACCTTAAGTGTAAGCAAAATCTTAAATAAAATGTTGAAAGAGAAAGTAATTAAGGACATAGAGGCAAAAAGTAAATGGGATAAAATACAACATAGTTTTACAAAAGGTAGATCATACCAGACCAACCTGATCTCTTTCTTTGAGAAGATTCCTTTGTGTAAAAAATAAATTAATGTAGGAGATTTAATCTATCTGGATTTCAATGAGGCATTTGATACAGTTCCACATGGGAAATTATTAGTTAAATTGGAGAAGATGGGGATTAATATGAGAACTGAATGGTGGATAAGGAACTGGTTAAAGAGGAGACTACCACGGGTCATGGTGAAAGGTGAATGTCCACCTGGAGGGAGGTTACTAGTGGAGTTACTCAGGGATCAGTCTTGGGACCAGTCTTATTTAACATTTTTATTAATGACCTTGGCACAAAAAATGGGAGTGTGCTAATAAAATTTGTGGATGACACAAAATTGGGAGGAATTGCCAATACAGAGGAGGACCGGAATATCATACAAAAAGATCTGGAGGACCTTGAAAACTTCAGTAATAGAAATGGGATTAAATTTAATAGTCCAAAGTGCAAGGTCATGCATTTAGAAACTAACAACAGGAATTTTTGCTATAAACTGAGAATATACCAGTTGGAAGTGACAGGAGAAAGACCTTGGTGTATTAGTTGATCACAGAATGACTATGAGATGCCAACGTGATGTAGCCATGAAAAAAGCTAATGTGATCATAGGGTGCAAGGTATTTTCAGTAGGGATAGGGAAGTGTTAGTATCATTATACCAGGTACTGGTGGGACCTCCTCTAGAAGACTGTTCTGGTCTCCCAGGTTCAAGAAAGATTAATTCAAACTGGAAAAGGTGCAGAGAAGGGCTACTAGGATGATCAGAGGAATGGAAAACCTATGTAGTGAGAGGAGACTCAAAGAGTTTGGCTTGTTTAGCCTAACCAAATGAAGGCTGAGGGGAGATATGATTGCTCTCTATAAATACATCAGAGGGATAAATACCAGGGAGGGAGAGGAGTTATTTAAGTTAAGTGCCAATGTTGACACAAGAACAAATGTATATAAACTGTCCATCAACAAGTTTAGGCTTGAAATAGACAAAGGTTTTTAACCATCAGAGGAGTGAAGTTCTGGAGCAGCCTCCCAAGGAGAGCAATGGGTGCAAAAAACCTAACTGGCTTCAAGACTGAGCTTGATAAATTTATGGACGGGATGGTGTGATGAAACTGCTGCAGTGGCATATAACTGACATGGGACTGCTAGTAGCAAATATCTCCAATGGCCGGCGATGGGACACTAGGTAGGGAGAGCTCTGAGTTACTCCAGAGAGTTCTTTTTCAGGTGTCTGCCTAGTGGGCCTTGCCCACATGCTCAGGGTCTAACTGATCACCATATTTGTGGCCAGGAAGGAATTTTCCCCTGGGTCAGATTAGCAGAGACCTGGGGTGGGAGAGGGAGGTGGTTTTCCTTCTTCTGCAAAAGGCACAGGTCACCTGCAAGTTTAAACTAGTGTAAATGGTGGATTCTCTGTAACTTGAAGACTTTAAATCATGATTTGAGGACTTCAGGAACTCAGTCAGAGGTTAGAGGTCTATTACAGGAGTGGGTGGGTGAGATTCTGTGGCCTGCCATGTGCAGGAGGTCCTACTAGATGATCATGATGGTCCTTTCTCGCCTTAAAGTCTATGGCACTCCTGCTGGGCTTGGCATCCTATAGTGCAGGCAATGTACAAAATCATCATCATAAGATATCCTATATTGTATAATGATCTTATTCCTGTATCCTATATACCGCTTCATTTAGTCACGTCAGTACCGTATAGCAGCGGTTCTCAAACTATGGGGTGGGCCTCCTAAGGGAGGCCCAGGAATATGTCAAGGGATGCGTGAGCTGTGTGCTTTCTTTTCTTTTTTCTTTTTTTTTAAAGAGCTCTGGCTGGCAGCCCTGGTGGCTGGGGCTCATTCAGAAGGGCTGTGCACACCCGGGTGGTGGGGATAAAGGGGACAGCTGGAGCCCAGCCACCCCAGACTGACAGCTCTGGCTCTCCTTCTTCCCCGCCCCCGCCCCCCCACCCACCAATGCCTTAGCAGGCAGCCCGGACTCAGGTTCTCCTTCCCCTCCCCCCACGCCCATCCCTCACCAGGCGGCAGCCCAGGCTCAGGTAGCAGAGCAGACAAAACCAAAAAATAGTAAATACTGTGCTGCTCTGGGCTTCTGACCCTCAGGAGCACTGGGGCTCAGGGCTTCAGCCCCACAGGGGGCACCAGGCCTTGGGACTTCAGCCCGGAGGAGAGTGCCAGTGTTGGCCTCCCTCCCTGCCCCGCTGAACCCCAAGCCCCGGAGCCCCCTGTGAGGCTGAAACCAGGAGTGGAGCTGCAGGACTGTTGCCCAGACCCCAGTGCTCCCTCCAGATCTAAAGTGTTGAGCCCCGGTGCTGCCCCGCGCAGAAGCCCCGAGCCCCCCGTTCGGAATCAGAACCCCCGGCTCCCCACACCCACATCCGGAACCCCGCACACCCCCTGTGGCTGCAGGTTCAACCCCTTATGTGGCTGAAGTCAGTAACCTCTTCTTCAGAACTATGGAACATTTCAGGATTACAGACAACCTCTATTCCCGAGGCGTCCGTAACTCTGAGGTTCTACTGTGTGAACTTTTTAACTTTTCACCCACTTTTAACTTTTAGGCACCCCTAGAACGCCAGCGCCCCATGGCACATGCCTACTATGCCTAACTAGAAATCCAGCCCTGCCTGTGACAACATATGTTTGCAGTGATACAAAAACAGCATCTACAAAACATAACGTGATTTATTCTGCCTCAAAGGCACATAGTACTTAAAGAAGTAGATTTAAAATAACAAATAGACCTGCATGCATACTCCTTTACTGAAGCTTGCCCTCTCTATCCATTGTTTAGATGGGTCCGGCTTATTTCCCATCTGAGTTGGGAGAAACAACCTACACTGCTTGCAGCCTGGCCCCTCTGTCTTTGTTTGTGTTTAAGACAGTCGTCAGATTGTCAGCCTTTTCACTAACACATCCTTGGCAGCCTCTCTCTCAGGTCTCCCCCAAAGCTCCTCCCTTATTTAGGGTCTTTTAGGGGTTCCATCTCCTTTTGGTCCAAGGCATAGTTTGGATGAAGCTAGCTAAGTTAATTTTTTCACCAGTTGTGGGCCCAGCCAATGTTATCGTCACACTTTTGAGGTTGTGTATGGGAGGTTCATTTCTCTGTGTCATTGTTTTACCCTTCCTGCTATGTTCTATAACAAGATTTTTACAGCCCCCTTTGATTAAGCTCTGTGCGTTCAAACAGGCAGCATATGAATTTGAACAGGGAAACCGAATCACACATAATATTCATAAAAGATACTACAGACATTGTCCCAGTTTGTCACACCACATATCAAGGCCTTGTCCCAGATCTGGAAAACTTGGTCTCTTTTCTGGGGGGTAAATTCTGCAGTACAGTCAGAGCTGGGCCACCCAAGCTGGCTGCTAGCAACCACCCAGTCTGTTCATCTCCCAGACATTCATTCGGGCAATGATGGAACTAAGCCAAATAAGATTCCCAGGGAGTTTTCTCTTCAGAGATATTGGGCTTTAATATTATTAAGCTGGGATGATTGAACCTTCCCCCCTGGGACTCTGTGGGTTACAAACAGGGTAGAAAATTATTGTAAATGCCCAGTCTTACCCAAGTCCTCCAGCTGGCCAAATTCCTCATCCACACAGCTGCCTTTCACTGTGGCCTATGATGTTTGATTTCCTTCTCAATGTAACTTTAAGTCCTTGCTGCAGCTCATCTCTGTTAGTGAATTCCAGCTTGGCCACAGCTTGCCTCGTCTCCCCTATTTCCTGGAAAACCTTCAAGTCCATGACAGGCAGATTGATGGTCACCTCGTTCATCCTTCTTGACATCCCATTATCTGTGCTACTCAGATGTTGGAGAGTATGATTAAGAAACCTTTTTATAGCTGGGTTTCCCAATCTGCCAAGTCACTTTGGAGCTAATGCCCCTACAAAGGTTTTATCTCTGTCTGCAAGTCATCTCTGTCCTTCCTGGGAAGCTGCCAGAAGTTGCTTTAATAGGTTTTGCGAAGTCTCCATTTCATGTTTTAGGTCTTGTTTTAATTCCTTTTTTCTATCCTTGAGTTTTGTGAGAAGTTCAATTATTTGACCTGTCTTGTCAACAGTAATACCAGCTCACAATTTCTCTCTTTGGAAACTGGATCCCACTTCCTCACACCCGCGTTGCACTTTGGCACAAGTGGTCAGCTACTGTTCTGGATCTTGTTGACTTGTTTCCACTAAGGAGAGAAATGGATTATGTGAGTCAGGTATTTATTTGGTTCAATCGTGTTTATTTACAAAGAACGTACACAATGTGCTGTTTCCCTGAACACAGTAGGAACAAACAACAGGGGGCAGTTTCCTTGCTCAGAAATCCAGCGCTACTTTTCCAGCCACTCCTGTGCCCCCAAGGAGTTCTGTCTCTGCTCCCTCTCAGAGCCACACTAAGAGCTGCTTCTCTCATTCTCTGCTGTCTTTCTGGTTCCTTTCACAACTGCAAAGGCAACTGCAACCAAATCAATGCCTCAGTCTCTGCATTTGCAATCATTCTCCAGGGAAAACTCTCCTATTCTTCTCCAGTTAGTTCTTGCTAAGCCCTTCCCTTGTGGTCTATGCCTTGGACAGCTGCTTTTATTGTTTCACCTATCACAAAACAAAGGAGGATTTAATTGCTCCTTCATTTAGTTTAAATGAAAGGTGGCTAACATGCTGTTCTGGGCCAAGGTGTTCGAAGCACTGCAGGCCGGCAGAGGTACTCTGGAAAACAAGACCCACACGCAGCTAAGCAGTGAGTTATTGGCTTTATTGAAAGTTAGTGACATACCCGCAACGGGGACTCCAAGCGTTGCTGTCACGGAGGCGGAGAACCCAGCACGCCGGAGCTTTGCCTGGGACAGAGTCCGACGAAGGGTAAACAGCGAGCCCTAATAAGCAGTACACAAAAGCAGCTCATGAATATATAGTAAGGTATTTCCCAACAGGGGCTTTCTGCTACTTGGCACAGGGCCCTGCAAGGCACATAGAACCAGCCGAAACCGGTTAGAGTTGGTTCTTTATGTCCTGCAGTGACCGGGCCCCCAACTAAAACCCCTCCAACACATTATCAAGGATCTACAACCTATCCTGAAGGATGACCCAACCCTCTCACAAATCCTGGGAGACAGGCCAGTCCTTGCCTACAGACAGCCCCCCAACCTGAAGCGAATACTCACCAGCAACCACACACCATACAACAGAACCACTAACCCAGGAACCTATCCTTGCAACAAAGCCCGTTGCCAACTGTGCCCACATATCTATTCAGGGGACACCATCACAGGGCCCAATAACATCAGCCACACTATCAAAGGCTCATTCACCTGCACATCCACCAATGTGATATATGCCATCATGTGCCAGCAATGCCCCTCTGCCATGTACTTTGGGCAAACTGGACAGTCTCTACGTAAAAGAATAAATGGACACAAATCAGATGTCAAGAATTATAACATTCAAAAACCAGTTGGAGAACACTTCAATCTCTCTGATCACTCGATTTCTGATCTCAAAGTGACTATCCTTCAACAAAAAAACTTTGAAAACAGACTCCAACGAGAGACTGCTGAATTGGAATTAATTTGCAAATTGGATGCAATTAACTTAGACTTGAATAGAGACTGGGAATGGTTGAGTTATTATAAAAAGTAACCTATTTCCCCTTGTTTATTCCTTCTCCACCCCCCTCCCCCCCGGTTCCTCAGACATTCTTGTTAAACCCTGGATTTGTGCTGGAAATGGCCCACCTTGATTATCATACACATTGTAAGGAGAGTGATCATTTTAGATAAGCTATTAGCAGCGGGAGAGTAGGGTGGGGGGAGAGAAAACCTTTTGTAGTGATAAACACCCATTTTTTCATGGTTTGTGTGTATAAAAACATCTTCTGTATTTTCCACAGTATGCATCCGATGAAGTGAGCTGTAGCTCGTGAAAGCTTATGCTCAAATAAATTGGTTAGTCTCTAAGGTGCCACAAGTACTCCTTTTCTCCTTACAGTGTCTATGATAACACCCATTTTTTCATGTTCTATGTGTATATAAATCTCCTCACTGTATTTTCCACTGAATGCATCCGATGCAGTGAGCTGTAGCTCACGAAAGCTTATGCTTAAATAAATTGGTTAGTCTCTAAGGTGCCACAAGTCCTCCTTTTCTTTTTGCGAATACAGACTAACACGGCTGCTACTCTGAAACCTGTCATAACTTTAATTGTAACTTTAATGAAACTTGTAAAATAGACTAGACCTAATACTTGTAAATGTATGTGAGGTCACGACCCTTGGTCTTTATGTGTTCCTAGAGACTCTAAATTTGAAGCAAGTAGCAGAGGTGATTTTCACTCTGTTACGTTTGAAACTATAGCCACTCTAGAGCCGAACCCACGACGGTGTAATACCACATTACAAAATTCACTTTAAATAAAATAAAAGGCTAAGGGGAAGTATCCTCTTATTCATACTGCAAGTATTGAAAATAATTAAGATGTCTTATTGATGAGTAATATTTAATATCACAGAGTGGTACCAAATAAATAAATAGCAGTTGTGTGTAAGGGACCCAGCACTCGTGTATGGGGAGAAACCCTATCAGGCATGGTAGAGTGAATCTGATGGTTCACCGTCATTGAGCTGAGTTGCTGCTCTGATGACTGGGAGATCGCTGAGTGATGTTCGGTCACTGAGTTGATGGCATTCATTGTGAATTCTCACTTAACAGAGTGGGCCCCATGAAGGCTTTCATCTTCCACTTCTGCTCCAGCAATACAAACAGACCAGGAGTTCTCATATCACAAAAGCCCCTCTGTGCTCCCTTGACACAACAAGACACCAGCACTGGCTTGACTGCATGCAAAACCTTGACTTTTACACATTCAAGTTGTCAAGCCTGGACACTAATGCGACGTCTTGGGGCCACTAATCCCACAGAGTACCGGCCACCAAAAATCCGGCCAAACTCAATAGTCTCCAAACTGGTGGAGAACACAAAAGGACCACTTGAAAAACACACAAGAAGAGAAGTGTGTCAACAACTCTACCAAACACTTGCATCAATCCTCAAGGAGAACCTTCCACTGTCAGTATTGAGGAAGTAAAAGAAGGACTTGCCTCAATAAAAAAGGGGAAGGCTGCAGGCCCTGATGGTATCCTGGTATGCACCTCCACCAACTCGGCCCCAAAGGACTCCAATGGCTAGCAACGTTGCACTCGGCTACCTTAAGGACAGTACGGATCCCTAAAATATGGCGTGAGGCAATGGTAATTGCCATTCCAAAGCCCGGAAAGCCCCCTGATGAAGTGGGAAACTATAGGCCAATTTCTCTACTATGTACGACCTATAAACTTCTTGAATGTATCATCTTCAAAAGAATATGCCCTTTTTCTGAGCCAATTATCCCTGTTGAACAGGCAGGCTTCTGGCCTAAATGTAGTTGTTGTGACCAAGTTCTGGCACTCACAACTCACATTGAGGCTGGCTATCATAAAAAAAAAAAAAAAAAAGACTGACCCCGTATCATAAACAATGGGCTACCACAAGGCTCTGTACTTGCGCCAATCCTCTTGAATATTTACATAAGTGATGTGTCTCCAGCTAAATCACGAAAATGTGGCTATGCAGATGATCTTGTCATGACAATCCAAGCAAACCTCCATGACATTGAGAAAGCATTAACTGAGGACCTCCAAAATATAGAACAATATTTACAGACATGGAGGCTCAAACCAAACCCTGGAAAAACAGTTGTGAGTGCATTTCATCTTGATAATAGGAGTGCCAAAAACACACTGAAAGTAGCTTTCTGTGGTAAAAATGTGCAACACAATTACTCTCCAACATATCTCGGAGTGAAACTCGACTGCATCCTCACCTTCCATGACCATCTTGAGAAGATAGCTGCAAAGGTAAAAACGAGAGCCAACATAATCCCCAGAAGCTAAAAGGTATAACCTGGGGTGCATCAGTCTCAGTGCTGCGAACATCTGCAATAGCACTTGTATATTCAGTAGCTGAATATTGTGCACCATTATGGAGCAGATGCAGCCACACATGACTTGTGGATAGCCAGCAGAATACAGTGATGTGGTGCATCATGGGAACCCTTAAGTCGATGCCAACACCCTGGCTACCTGTCCTGTCTAACATCGCTCCCCTGCCAATACACCAAACTGCTGCAACATTCCGCGAAGCTCAGCAAATGCAGGAAAACAGATGTCTTCCTATTCACCAAGACCTTGACAACACTCACGCTGCCCCCTACCCCCACAACATCTTAAATCCCACACGCTTTTCTGGGAACATTCGTTTAGCCTCATACAATCAGGCCATGATCAGAAGGAGGCTTGGAAAGCAGATTGGGCTAAACAAGACTTAAATAATAAGCATCTTGTGCCAGATCCCACACAGAAAGTTCCTGGGTTTGACCTTCTACAGTCATCTTGGTCAACTATGAACCGAATTTGAACCAACCATGGTAGATGCGGATATCTAATGCACAAATAGAAAATCAAGGACTCCCCAGTGTGCGAGTGTGATTCCCATAGAAGATATCACTACCTACTGCCCAATTTATAAATATGAAGGAGGCATCAATGCAATAAATTCTGCTACTCCTGATGTAGCTATTTGGCTCAATCACCTTCAGGTGAAATTGTAGTAGCTGCTCTATACCAGCCATACGAAAGAAGAAGACCATCATTAATAAATTCCTCAAGCTTTATTAATAAGCTCCCCAAACTTTGGACTCGTCTGAACTGCACCACAGATGGAGCATTGAGAAAAACTTTGTGGGGTTACCTTGGTCACTGCCCCTCCTCTCGGTGTACTCCAGCTGTTAACAGCTGAGGGGGAAGGAAGCACCACAAGTACTTCTCAGCAGAGGTAATACCTTATAGAATATTTATTTAAATTAGGAAGCAATTAAGGGAGGGACACCTTCCTAATAGGGAATTCTTAAGAGAGTCATTGAACAAGGTCAGGTGCCAAGTCAGGCATTCACCCTAATGGACCCACAGACACCCCTCGAGACCTTTTTGCAGGACTACATTGAAACCTATGATGGAGGGTCAGCAAAAATGGTGAATAATCAGACCCTCATAGATCACCCAGATCCATGGAACTTAAGATGTTCCATTTTTTATAAAGAAAAATTAAAGAGAGAACCTCAGGAGGTGAAGGGACTAGCAATGAATTCTGCATATATTGTTGGTAACACTTTTTAGAGAGAAAATTGAGAAGGAAAATTGAGCAGTTGGATCAGGCACAACAGCCTTATCCCAGGAAAAAGGGATTAGTGAAGTTAAGAGAGCATCTTATTCAGACACTGGAAATGAATTCAGTTCTTATTTATCAGAGAAATGGTCTTGCAAAAGAACTGACTTGCTGCAAGCAGCAATTACAAAGAGCTGATATGTGGCGAGCTCAAGCAATAATGGGTTGGAAACATTTATTTGGGCAAGAAATGAACATAGCAGAATTAGTTCAGAGAATTTAGGTGTTAGAACAAACCTGTAATATTCTAGAAAACATGTATCATCAGGTAATAAATACAGAAGATGAGATTTGGTAGGAAATCCAAGCTGTTCCAAATATAGACAGTAAGAAAGATGTATGTGCAGAGATCCAGTTTTCACCTGTATATGTTGCTCCTATAATACCAGATAAGCCCACTTCCCATATCCCAGTAGCCATGGTGGTACCTGGGAAAGAAAAGCCAGTGTTAGGACATAGACCCTCACCCCCACTTACCTGGTTGAGAGCTAAGAGCAGACAGGAAGACAGAACGAACACACTGGAAAGTTAAGAAAAGAGGAAGTGTCAAACACAGACACTTCAGGAGGAGTGAAAGGGGGATTTGAAGAGGCTGTCAGTAGTGAA